ATAGATGATTTTGTCGTTTTTTTTTTTTTTTAGCATGAAATTATCATTTATATTTCATTCTATTTCCAGACATTTACATCTCATTACTAGTAGCTCTTTTTGTCAAATACCGCCAATTAACTTATCATTATCATTATTATCATCATCAAATTATAATATTTATTTCTAATTCAAACATTTGCTCTCAATCTATCTCTATTCTCGATGTTTGTTTGATATTATCTCTAATGTTGCAATCATTATTACCTTCTCATCCTAATTTATCTTATCCAATTTTTATCCCTACTGTTAATGAAATAAGTTGAATTGTGATAGTAGTGATAGTACTATTTGTCATCTATCTTCCGATTCTTTCCGAATTCTACTCACACTGTCACAGCATTTTCATTAACTGATATGATGAATATTGCGAAAGATTTTCGTTGTATCAAACAAGGCATTCATAATTTTATGCAAAATTTTACATTTCTATTAATCAAAATTATTACAACACATTTTTACATTATCCTATGAACTAATTATTCATTCATCCAAAATTTCCACCTTATTATACTGTTCGTTAACTTCATTAGATTCATCATCTTTTTGCATTATTTCACTTATAGATCACATAATATAATCCCTACGATATTTACTGTAAATAATTATTATCCAATTCCTATCCATTCATATTTTTAATCATTCAAACTCTTTCCATACTAAAAACTTCATATCATATTGATATTGGTACGATATCGAATTATTTGATTAGATTTAGGTCTTTCTCAATTTCGGATTTCTCAAAATTTAATTTAAAAAAAATTAAGATCGGAATTATTAAATTTAGATATGACTCAACTGGTAAGTGCTAAAGTATTATGTTAAATTAAACTACTAAAATCATTCACTTTGCACTGTTCTTTAATTAATATTGGTACCAATAATATTACTATCGTTGGTAGCTTTGTTACTTAATGGAAAAAGGCTACATTTCGTATATCACCGCTTCTGCTATGTATCGCTGTTATCATTACCTCGTCAGTACTGCTTTTTCTGGGTATACCTTTCCTGTGCTACCACGACCGGTTATAGGAAAGAGGACAAATTAGTACTTCTGTCAGGTGATACTGCCATCAAAATGCGTTGGTGTTTCAGTGGAGGTCATATTTCACCACCTCCGCCATCACAACGAAAATTTCTTATTCCGTCAACATCATCGCTGAACACAACAGCTGGATCTTCATCAAGTTCCAATGAAGTCACCTCAAGTGATGAAGACCACAGACGGATCAAGTTTGCTTTTTATCGTTTTCAAAAAAGAAAATTTTTTAAATGAATCATTTTCGTAAATTACTTCTAATTAGCTATTTACATTTTTGTGAATAGAAATATGTTTAGCAGAAGAGCGGAAAAGTTGGATTCATTCACGACGAATTCATCAAGTCGACCATCACTTACACCAAAGCCGAAACTCGATGACAGAAACATTCCGATTTCATTGAATGGCGAAAAAGAAAGTCTACAAAGATTGCAAAAATCAAGTATGTTGGATAATGGTAGTGGTTGCATGGACAGTGTCACACGAAGGCTTCAGAAAATAGGTTAGTTAAATATCTGTCAATGAATTGTTTTCTAAAATGCTCTCTATTAATTACATAAACAGAAATGGAATACTCATTTTAGAATAATTGCATGTTAATATAAAGGATTAGATCATTCCATATGGGCAACTGAATTTATGGAACTATTCCAAGATCAGATAAATTCTCGGTTCAGACCGCGACATTTGTTTAAGTCATACATTATCCTCTACTAGTCATTCATGAAAAATATAGGTATGAAGTAATATTGGTACAAAAACAATATGACAACATTATTATCCATGGATTTATTTTAAGAATAGTTTGTATCTATCTTTAAATTTAAATTTTTTGGGAAATTTTTAAAAGTCGAATTTTCGACTTTTCACACTTTTTTTTCAGTTGGGTTTATTAGGATTGCATTACTTTCGAGAGTTTTCCTTTGTTATTTCCTATTTTATAACTTTGGATACTTTCTTTTCCATAAACCTTGCAGTGATATATTCCTAAAATATAATGAGATTTTAACTATACAATAACAGAAGCGACTTATATTCCGGAGATTGAAACCAGAAACAATCCAGAATCATCCATGTTTTTGGGTAAATGAAAATTTTTGTAATTCACCAAATACCATTATTAATTACTCTTCCAATTTTTACTCCATTCATTTTTCTTCCTTTTTTTAAAAAAAATAATATAAATAGAAATGAAGGAATCCTTACGAAAAATTCTCGTTATATGAAGTAATATGTCATCTAATTTTTGGCATAGACTTAGCATTCCAGTAGTAGAAGTTAATCTGTGCTCGAGAGCCAGAAGTGATCCAGACAACCGATAATAGGAAGAATTAATTAATAACCCATTTGTTTTCATCTTTCTTAACAGCTCACTGATATACGCGATTCTGAAAAGGAACTGGGCGCAAAAAGCTTATAGACTATGAAAGTATCATTTTTGTTATAGTCAGAAATTAGATTGAATTACAGTTATTGGTTAATAGTAGTTGTATGGCATAAGTTGTTTACTTAGAAAACGACAATAAGAAATTTTAAGGATCTGAATAGTTTCTGGATTTGGAAAAGTATAATCAAGGCTTGATATCGGATCACGTTATCTATCTACTATCTGTTTCGGTTATCGTTTTTTGAAATATTTTTGACTACTTTTCAGGAACAACCTCAACGGACGATTCATCACCAAAACTCACGCTAGACAAAAGCTTCGTCTCAAAAGGCCGTGGGCTTCACTGGTCAACACATTTGGATTCAGGTACAAGCGGTACTACTGGAGGACAAAATACTTGTTCATCTAATGAATCCGAATCGGGTAGTGTTGTTATTAATACAACTATCATTCCACACGATGAATTCAGTTCGTCATCACCCTCCTCTTCCGGAATTGTTGCCGATATGAATGATTCTAATGGTGAAAGTAATCAGGTCATCAAATTTCCCTTCATTTTTCCACCACTTACAACCGGTCCGACAATGTGTTCAACTGATAATGACATAACTCTTCATGATACCTTAAATAGTCTCATTATCTTCTGAAATCACCTGACCGGTTGCAACTGATATCGTCTGAAAAAGCGAATTAAGCAGTAGTTACAATGAAAAGGTTCATTTATTTTTTAGCGCAATTTCCTTCAACCTTTTCAGAGAACATCAGCAACATCATCATTGTCATCATGTGAACCATCATCGGACGTAACTGAATCTAATTTCGATTCATCACGTATGGGGAAAACGTATCGATCGCGGATCGATGATCCATTAGCATTAACGCAAGATCATCGACAGCAGCAAGCAGCAGGTCATTTCAATGGTGTTGGAGGAGCAGCTGCAATTCAACGTCCACAATTTGAACGAATTCGTGAACCAAGTGGTCTAATGATGCCAACATTAGAAGAGAAAACTGAGCCAAGCAATAGATCCATTTTACAAGGCGCTTTTAACAACTGCAACTTTTCTACCATTCTGGGAATGACTGATAATGCCGAGCCACGATTTAATCTTTCTCTTAATCTGAATAATCATCGAAGTTTTATGCAACGTTCTAATAGGTAACACATACTGCATTATCATTCTAACTAATTTAATTCTTTTCTTTTCTAAAATTTCCTTCATTTCAAATTTAAAATAAGTAATTTACAAATAAAAACTCAAAATCTAAAATGTTGTGTAAATCATTCACGAGAAAGATCATTTAATGGTAGTATGGAAGATAAGTAAATATTCACTCGAAATTTTGCTCTGAATAAGATCTGAGCAATCCAGAAGAAGCTGAACCTTATAAAGGAAAGATTTAAAAATTACAAAGTATAACAAGAATATTTGAATTTCTGGAATATCAAGATAATAAAATCGAGACAGTTCAGGAGCTCATCAATACCACCTGAAGGTATGCTTGGAAATGGATACACCTTGGAAGATCGTTTCAAGCGTAACGGAAGTATGGCACCCGAATTAACAAATCAACACCATTCTCAAGATAGGTAAATCTGAAACTCATACAGTTTTTCGTTAGTATATGAAACATCAAAGATGAAAGATCGGAGGCGTAGAGTTTTATAAAAAGTTTTATATTTTCTAAAAGTTTCAATCTCATCGTAAAATGACTAAAGTTTGCATATTCCGATTAAAGAGAGTATACTGATCGATTAGTTGAATAAGAAAGCAATGAGTAAATAAAAAATGTACAAAAGTATTTTATTCTGCCATTTCACCTGTCATTCTCGACTAACAATACTCAATGAGAATTCTCAGTACAATAAAAATATAATTTTAATTAGATATTTAAATTAAATGGAAATTTGAAACAATTGATTTAGTCTAAAAGATTTCAAGTTTTTAAATTAAAAAATTAGTTGAAATTTAACGCTGGAATGGCTTGAATCTGAAAGGTTTTTCGAATTTGCAAAGAAATATATGGGAAAAGATAAATGAGATTAGTCCATTGAAATCAAAAGCACAAAAAATTAGGCTTAATAAAATTTTAATTTTTGGAGATAGTTTCATATTAAATCAAGGACATATATGAGCATGAAAACTAGAATAATGCTAATTTTGATTGAAAAAATTAATTAAAAAATTGATGAGTTCTTTTTCCTCACTGGACAAGTTTTCCTTTAAACTAATCGCATCAGAATTTATGACTTATGATTTGCGATTTGCGATTAAAAAATATAAATGATTTAAAATTTGAGTTAAAAAACGAAATATTCTGGTAGATATATTTAGGGAAACAATTTTTCTTTCTTCTGAGAAAATCCCGTCAAAATAGCTTGAAAAAAAAACAAATTGCTGAAATTTATGAATGTATTTTAATGATGGCGATATTTTTAGCAGTGGAAATAGTACAACAAATGAGGAAAATATTAGAAAGCAAACGATTTGCTCGAAACTTGTTGAACATTATCGGCAGATTGAAAGCAGTGTTGAGAAATTGGATAAGGTTGTTTTTTCTTTCCTTGTTTATGTAAATTTTTGGAAGTTTTTCTATTAATCAAAAAGAAATCGAAAACGATGGATCATTTCTTGATAGCGAATGAGATGAAGCAAAGAAATTAAAATGAATTTTCTATTATTTAAGTAATTTAACTTAAAAAAATTTTAAAAATTTATAATTTAAAAGGGATTAAAAATTCTTTTACTTCCTCTATTTGCTTAAATAATAATCAACTGAATGCTTTGAGGCTCAATTAGAATGTTTACAGAAGTTGTCCTGAAAATTTTAACTTGAAAATGTTAAAATAATTAATGTAATAATTCCAATTAAATGTGCAGTGTACGGCAGCACGTGCATGGCGACAACCGCATATCCTGCAGCAGCATATTTTTGACATTAAGGAGCACGTGGAGGTGATCACAAATTCAATGAACGGTTTCCTCGATGCCGCATGTCGTATTGCAGTTGATATTATTAATCCGAAAGGTCAAGGTATATACTGTTACTTTTAGTTTTCAATAATTGTCATTCTTATAAGTTTTAAAGCTTCCTTCTTCAATTTTAATTTTAAATTGTTTAAATTTTAATTTTTTTTCATTCTCTAAATTTTATATTAATAACCAGTGTTTATTTTTGTTTGAAATTGTTAATTGTTAAGACATTACTAATGCAGTTATTTCTATAAATTAATGATCTGCTGAAGTCGGAGGTCAAAGGGTATATTTCAGATTTTAGCACTTTGTTTATTTTGATTTTATTTTGATGCTTTATTTTTTCTGTATTTCATTTAATTCTATTATCCTATCCTACCTTTTTTATAACCTTCATTCCATTACATTGGAGAATTTTTTTCCCACATAATTAGTAGAATATTGAGAACATCCTCAAAGGTAAATACGTAGTGGTTGTAAAAAGGTAGGATAGGATACTATCATTGTGAAATATCAAATGTCTCGAATTTTTTTCCCGAGAATTTCACAATTTCATACAAAAACATATTTAGAAATTGTTTGATTTTTAGAATTGAAACAGTTACTTCTACCACTAAAAAGCTCTACTGCTATCATAACCCAATTGAAACAAAATTTGGACAGTACCGGCTGGACCCTTGGTGCATTATCACGACCACGTAACATTTATGGTACAGTACCGGGAAGCGATGCTTTGGACCAATTTCTTGCTGTTATCAAGCAGGTATCTCTTTAGTTACTTAGCAACAGCTATGTAGATGTTATGAGGGTTATAACAACTAGGATAAGCAAATCATTTGATTACAATTTGGATTAATTAAATTAATTGCTGCATTTTGAACAGATTGTTTGGTTCGAATAATTTTTGGATAATTTTTGAAGTTTTTTTATTCTCTTGAAAACCTTAAATTTTTATTTTTCAAATTCGTAACTTGTACTTCATTTACTTGAAATTTCAGCTGCCAGTCGATTGCTGTAAATTGATACAATGGGCATTACTGATGGTACCATCTTCAGGTGTTCGTTTCTTAACGAATGGTCTGAAAGGTCCTTTGAGTTGCACTAATATCATCACAGCCACTAATCAATCACATGATGATCCCTTATTAAGGTGAAATGATATATTTTGGAGTGAATTATATTTTTAAATCACTGTGACCTTTAAAAGGATGATCTCTATTCTCTTGTTATTCAATATATTCTTCTACTTTGGCTTCAATTCTTTTACCACTAATTAATCACTTTTCCCTTATTTCTTTCACTTTTAATTATTTCCTGATTGCTATTTCGTTTCTTTCAATGCTTCTCCTTCTATATCTTTCAACAAATTCAGTTGGATATAAATTTGTCAAGCAATGGCCAATAAATGTTACTAATTTTTTTTTTTAATTCTGTGAATTACCTATTTTTTGCCTAATTTGCCTATTTTTTTAAATGGAAAGATTAGATTGTAAGATTGAAATTCTATAGGATGTATGAAACAAATGGCGGAACATCAGTTGGAACTGATTCAAGAAAGCAATCGGCAACATCAAATGCTTCCATGATAACTATTTCAAATTTGAATGATACTGAAACATCACCACCATCTATCTTGGCTTCTCGTACAGCTTTTGGCCCAGGAACCGGCAAACAAAATCGTGTGACGTTTGCAGATGATCTGACTACTTCACATCGATTATCAGACTCGATTCTTGAAGCACATGTTTTAGAAGAGGATGATTTAGAATCGGTGATCAGTGATCGAGACAGCTTCTATCAGGTTATCATCCTATTGCTGACTAATTAAAAATTGAAACGATGTTACTGATATTTCACCTTTTAAAAGTAATCGATATCTTCCTTATATGATTTGATTTTTAAATTTTATTTCCTTTGTTCTATTCTTACCGTATTTAGTATCTTTTGCGATCATTCAAGCATATATTGATTTAGACTGTTTTTTTTCTTTTTTTGAATAATTTTTAATCAATCTTATTTATAATTTTGATATAATTTTCCGTTTTTTTGTATTTTATTTTTCTTTTTTTTTTCTGTGTGTATGTAATCGTTAGGCTAAAGATAGTGTTTCTTATATCAGCAAATGTACGAATCATCTTTTGAAAATGATATTATGATATAACAAAATGAAACGAAACAATAAGATTTAGTATTAGTCGTAACATTTAAAGATATTACTAAAATTCGCAAGTCTAATACGAAATTTTTTCAGTTCAAACCTTCAACGTTAATCTTTAAATAATTACATTTATTTTCCGATTTTGAAATTTTCGCATCAAATTTTAGGACTCAACTACTGAAGGTGAGAATACTGTCGTGAATCGTAGGATGAGACCGGTAACGAGTTTACCACCATTGTCATTATTGAATGCAGAGGTATGTATGCATATTTTTCCCATTAATTTTCCATTCTTTGAGAAAAATCTCCAGATGAAAACTTTTCCTCAATGATAATAACTTTAAAGTGATGCTTTTTAATTTACTTAGTTGACCGAAATGAAAATTCCCTACTTTTTCTTACCATTCGCTTATCCAACTATTTATTCCTGTTTTGTCTGATTTTACTCATTCCATTTATGTGAGTCATCCCATGATTTTTCAATTATCTTCGAACTGTTGACTTACTGCAACATGAAATAATTGATAAGATAATGAGGTAACTGTTAGTAATAGTTTGAGATAATTGATATAATTACTTGAATAAGTCTTATTAAAAATATGTGAGTTGGGTCTAACTTCAGTATTTATAATACTCTAACTAGACTTTTTTCAAAATAATTTTCCAGGTGATAAAGTCGTTGTCCGAAGATGACAGACAATTGATTGAATTTTATTCACCACAATTGGATGCGCACACCGAATTCCTTTCCAAGGCAATTGAAGAGTTCTTGACTGTTATTGAAGAACAAATGCCACCCCATGAATTTGTTCAAAAAGGAAAACTGGTACTATTTCAGTCTTTACTTATCACTTATCAACTTTTCCCTTATCAATTTCAATGCGTATACAGCTTTTGTATGGTTTTGTTTTTGATTCTCTTACTATTTGCTTCAATATTTATGTATTCTAAAAAAAATCTAAATCTAATAGAATGTTAAATGACTCTTAGATAAGTTTACTATTTCCTTACTAATTTATTTTTAATGATAATTTGGTTAGTAATGGAATGACAACTATTTGTTCAATACTTACTGCATCATTATTGTTTTAGGAATCTGTAAATAAAATTGTTTAATGTCATTCTAAATTCTGTTTTCAGAATCAAAATCTAAGCAATATATGGAGAATCATTTACGAGATAAAAAGGGATTATGCATACTTCTTGAATTAGGCATTGAAATATTTTAATACTTAAATGAAATACTTCAATACTCATTGTCCTCTTATTTCACCTGTTCATTTGAATAGTAATAATTATATTTGCAGATAATACTTACTGCACATAAATTAATTTATATGGCTGATACAATCGCGGAATGTATTTCATCCGGTGATGTTAGCAAAGAAGTGAGACGTGCAGCTGATCGACTGCTTGATGTATTGAAGACATGTGTTCAAGCTACCAAGCATGCTGCTGATGAGGTTTCAAACTTCTCCTTTTATAATATTCCCGAAACTTGAATTATTTCCAGTACTGTTTTCCCGAGTTATAACATCCGTTCTTGTCTTGCTAAGACATCTTATTTGTCGCTCAAAGGGATGGATGATGATATTTCGACTTACTAATTCATAATATTAATTAATAAGTTAATTGTAATATCAGAAGCATAATGAATATCTGTCATTTTCAGTACCTATCAGTATCAGCTGTACAATCGATGGCTAATTGTATTGTGACGGTATCACGTGCTGCATATGATTTGAAATTACTAGTAAAGCAATGCTGTAGCAATGGTTAGCTTATTGATAAAAAGTACTGTCCATAACGGTTGAGGTAATACACTTTCAAATTCTGCCCTTCTAATTTTTCTTGTTACGACTCGAATATTCATTGACGCCTAACTTATCCATTTTGATTTCCCGTGTGATTTAAGCATTGATAGCTGTTTAGAACATATAAGCGAATTTTGTCGCATTTCTCGAAATTCAGTGATGACATGACACATTAACTGATATGAAATGTTTTTGTTTCTAATTTGGAATAAACATATAACTTGTACAGTTGTTTAAATCCGTAAGTTCATATCAGTTTTAAAGCACTTGACGATCATTGTCTCTGGAAGATTTCGCCAAGTTACAATTTTACCTGATACTTGTTTAAGTGACGATGATAATACTAGCCTATTAAACTAGCCAAATATTTTCCCAGATAGTATTCTACGTGTTGAAATTAAGAAAATGGTTTTTAGCGAAACGGCACAAATTTAGTGTCACCCAATAATTTCAAGTCTTCATTTACATAATGTTACTACAGCAGTAGTAGTCACATTGTAATAGTTATTTTTATTTCCAAATTGTTTATTCATTTCCTGTATTGGAATTTCACATTGGCAATATTTGTTGTATATTTGAGCATTTTTCGCAACTTTTTACTCATATTTTTCCTGTTACTCATAATATAAAATGCAAAACATACTTCACTTATACATTTTAAATTTCGAAAAATCTCCTCTCCTTTAGTTCATTTCATCCGCGTTATTTCTGTCGTTAATTATTTCCCAAATGTGAAATAAAAATTGATGATAGGGTGCTCATGAATATGGTGTTAAGAAATAATCATTATAAACCTTCAGTTCCCTTGAGGATGGTGCAGCGTGTACGCTCTAAATTGCTACAACATTATCCCCATTGCCTGCCAGTATATCAGCAATTGCCCAACTTTTGGATGATACTGGATTCGTCGACGATCCGTTCTCGACCAAATTTACATCATTGCTACTACTTCGCAATACTTCTTTAATTCCGCAAATTTTCCTTACCGTTAAGGAATTTTCCTTCTCCATCCCCAAATCTCTCCATATGATCGATCGAAATCGTGAGTGAAAAAGAGACCGTCAAAAATGCAAGTATAGCGATTTTAAGTGCAAAAAGACACCCAAACCCTATCAAGAAGAGGTTTGAAAAGTGATATAAACGTTCAACTTTATTTGTCGGGGTTAAAGTTACAAGAACAGACACTACTTACTCGTTGTTATCCTTGCTTTAAAGGGAATTCTCACATGACGACATGGCGTATGTGAAAAAGGTTGACGTACAATTTCTGCGAGTAGGATCCTTCTCCAATCATATCTCTGATTCGCCTATTTTCTTAGCTCTCATTAGTATAATACAGCTGTCAGATCCAAAACATTAAAGCAACAAAATTTCAAAGCCACAATCTACAAAGACCATAAGGATGCCCATAAATACTCATAATGATCAGAATGTTTTCTCAATTTGCAATCCAAAGTCAAAATTTTGTACGAGGAAAGAAATGACCATATTCTAAAGCCAACATTTCATGGGGAAGGATTAGTCTCGAACGGCGGTCGGTTCTTAATGAAAGAATGAAAAATCCTAACTTGGAAATGTTGCAAGGGATATTCATTTGAAATTATTCACGATTAAATCAAAATCTGTAGAAAATTAAGATAGCAACTACCAGCAAACAGAAAAACTATTGAAATTTACTACTTGCATAATATATTAGAGACAATTTTCGCACTGCTCGTGTAAAGCATATTCCCTAGCTCGGTTTCAGTTCAAATGTTTACAGGATCACCACTTTCCAAAAAAAGAATCATAATAGACAACGGTTAAACCATTCCATTCATTATGTCCTTTCGGTTTTGGTCTATTGATGCTTAAGAATTAGTTAATTCAGTTATAAAAAATAACCAACGCAAAAAAATGCACAGGAAAATTAAGTGAAATGAGTGGATTAGTTATGCAAAGGCCCAGGTATCCTAGGTACGCGGTTCATCATCCGAAGAACTATTAAAAAGATCAGTATCTCCAATTGATTTCATTACCGCAACCATCGTATCAGCTGCCAAATTCTGTCTTTCTGGACCAAACGGCATTTTGAGTAATGCTGATCGTGCCTAAACCTTTAAAATGCATTTTTTTTTTTCATAAAATCTCGATGGATATGAGAAAACATATGGCTTGCAAGACTTCTTTCCTATTTTTAACAGAGATCCTCTTTCTCGTACAATTTTGCAAAAAAATTACAAAAAATTGATTTACAAAAAATTTACAAAAAATTTTACAAAAAATTTTGTTTGGACTAGCACCAGTCATTCACTAGCTTTTGTATGCTCCAACGGAAAAAGAAAGTATTGGGATCGAAAACTGATGCCACAAATATTTTTAAATTACTGTTAAGAAAGAAAAAATCACTGCATGAATTTTATTGACCAAGTTTGTGCCCTGTTCATCGGTACTTCTGTCAAGTAATTCATCGATTAATGATCGCGAAACACTACTTAAGTCGTATGAATTTTTCTTGGAATTTATTGGATAATCTTTGCAATTACCACCACTCGATTCCTGCTTTTCGTGCGCACTTATATCAACATCTACGTGTTCATTGTTCGATGAGTCCACATTTGATGAGTTTTGCGTCAAAATATTATTTGAAATTTGTGCCGAACTGCTTGCACAAACAAATTCACCAAATTCATTCGCAGTCGTAACTTTTGACTTCTTCTTTTTTTCCTCTTCTTGAAATATTTTGTTTTGAAAATGAAAAAATTCATTACTCAAAAAAAATTTTTTAGAAAAATTCGAATCCTGCAGATACAATTTCCATTTACTCTATCTACGTGTTTTCTCCTTTCTACCGGGAGAAACTTGAATATATCACAAGAAAACAAAATTTTGATATGAAATCAAAATTTCTGAGTATGCGAAGAAAAGGCATCTGGAAAAACTTACGCTGGCAGTTAATTTGTTTTCTCGTTTCAACTTTTCCGCTTCCTGCCTGAAGTGCTCAGTAACTGCAGGATCTGGAACATCTACATCCTTCATCAGACTACTGAATGACACTTTTGGCCCTCCAAATAGCTTCAGTATCACTTCTGCAAAATAATTCCTCAAAAATTCTTGCAAAACTGGCAATGAATAAAATTATCTATTAATAGAATAAATCCAAAGATAAAAAGCCACTAACGTTTCGTTAATGCCTATTATTATCTCCTTAAAATTTTTATCACTGAATCCACCCTTACTCGTTACAAGTACCTTTGTCTTCATCTGTCATATCGTAATCCTCTGATATAAACTCTTCACCATCAAAAGAATCTTCGGAAGATTTTTTGACAAGACTAGTATTCGGGAGACCAATTTTCCCAAAATCTCGTTGTTCATTCGACTCAAGCGGATTCATTTTCATTATTTTACCACGCCAATTTCCAGCTTCTAAGACCTAAAACGTTAACAGTCAACAAAAAAATAGTGCGCACAGGGAATGAATTTTCCAAAATTACTAGTGATACTTGAAGGCTAAAAAATAATCTAGATCAATTACAACCAAGATCCCTTAAAGTTATGATCTGATATTCTCATTGAGTTCTTCCTTGTTCCAAGCTCTGAACACATGATGAGCAGCAGAAATCCGTAACATATCAATTATGAGCCATTCATAGTTCTCATTTCATCATAAATTCATTTCCATAACCCTTACGCCACCAATAAATCACCACAAAAAGCCAACCTGCCATATACGAGGTATTCCATAAAGTTCGCGGCACTCATTTAGCTCTTCTATTGTTTCCTGAAAAATGCATGTGTGTAAAAAGATGAACAGAAAGCTTCTTTCTTCCCCTTGCCATTTCATACTGAATAAAAGCAAGTGTCACCTCTCCAATGAAGTAATTTTAGCTTACAGCTTGAAATACTTTACAATGATATTATAATATGGAAGTCAATCAAGCACCCTGAAAAGGGACAAAATATTTCCCAGTATAAGTGGTGAAATCTCCCTTTTTATCAATATTTCATTAATTGCAAAGATGTCAAGTGAAAATGACATCTGTAATAGTTTTTCGAATTATCAAAAACCACTGTCGTGAAATCTCGAAAAGTTTCAAACTCATATATAAGTTTCAATTAATAATTCAGCTCGACTTACAGCATCTGGGTCAAGTTCCACCAGCTCAATCTGTTCACCAGCACAGAAACGATACAAATTTTCCGACCAATCCATCGAACGTTCTAAACGTTTACAAACAGTAACCTGCAAAAAACAGATAACCTAAAGACCTGGATCTGTAGATGCAGATAAAAAGCAATCCTGATAATTTTAGTGCATAAAGTTCCCAAATAAACCTTATTTCAGTTTATATTCCTACACGTTTCAGTTTATATTCCTATACGGAAACCCACTTCACGTGCTATTCAGATAAAATTCTAGTAGAATTCAGTCTTCTTGGAAAATTCAAAGTATTAATTTTTAAATAACTGTTGTACTTGAATTTCCGCCCTCCATGTGGACATTTGTCGTTTCAACTGTTCGATGGAACGAAATTCCCCATCGTAGTAGTATACGACAGCGCCAACGTTTATGTTCAGTGTCGAAGCTTTCCATTCATTAATTTTTTCAACCGTCTTCAGCGATACTAACTTCAAGCGGGCCACGTAGTATTTCGTGTCCAACAGCAGTTCATTCTTCTGTTGCAACATGGAATTTTCTTTCTCTATAATACAAGAGAATACAACTTGCCATCTACAACGCAGTGCTTAAATCACTGCTTTACGTTACTTTGCATGCAAAAACTGGACTTATTGACGAGGTGACAAGAGAAGAATTCCAACAATCCGTGTAAGAAAAAATGACTGTTTGATAAGTGAACTCATCAGCACATAAAAAAAGCGCAAACGACACACTAAAAGAAAAAAACGACGCTGTTCCTTAAAAAAGATGATACCTAAGAGTGACTCGAGTAAAGTGTCGTTCACATCTCCAATTAATATTACTTTCGTTAGATCGGATGACTCCGTCAATTTGCCCATTTTATCACGTTGTCATTCACATCAAAGACACTTTTCCTGCAAGATGTACCACGAAGGAAATATGTGTAATTCAAGTATGATACATGATACATCTTCACAAACATTATCTCTGTTACTCTCGTAAAACCACCGAGACTCACTCTCGTGACACCATCAGGATCACTTTCGTGACACCATCAAGGAACAGGTAGCAATAAAAAGTATCACAACAAACAAGTCACTCTAGTCAACGTCATGACCGGATCACTCTAGTAAACGTCACGAGGGAGCCAATCTAGTCAACGTCACGACCGAGGTCACTCTAGCCAATGTCATAACCCGGGTCACTCTAGTCAACATCACTCTACCTCTTGCACGTAGACCGAACACTCCTCACTGATCAATACCAATTCAAAACATTCCGTTGGGCATTTTGCCAGGTGGGATGTTTTGAAATGCTTTTGACACTTCACATTTCTTGTTCCATCAAGCACGAAACGTAGATTTCTACTGAATTCCCTCTCTTTCCTCTCTCTCTCTCTCTCTCCTTCCCTCTCCCTTCTCTTCGTTTTTCCTACCACACTTTCTGTCACTAATCTTTCCAATCCCTGTTATCTCTCCAGAAACACTTGTATCACGATACGTGACTGGCGTGGAGTGATATATGTAAGTGTCCTACACGTCATTGATGATATCTGTCGTAGGTATGTTTCCATTTCTCGTTCAGTATTTTCCCTTGTATTCCCGGTGAATCCAAGCGTTTACCATTTCGATTCAATCATTTTGTGAAATATGGATTACGGTTTTAGGATCGGGGACAAGTGGTTTTTATTCAGAATTTGCAATCATTTGAGTTCCCGTGTGGTTCCTAATGTTGTCGGATAAGAAGACATGTTGGACGACACATACAAAAAACAGTCTTCCACACAGCTGTGCTACGAATGTAAACCGTATCTCGATACCTGTTCCAGGTATATATATGTATATATATATATAATATATATATATATAATGTATAGGGATAAAATCAAGTCAGGCAAAAAGGTTATTTCGAAAATTTTTCTGGAAAGGTTAAAATTTATGGCTAGTTTCGGATTTAGTTTTTCAAGATATTACGCTATTATTTGTATTAATAAATAAAAATTCCATCTATAGGATAATGTTTATTTCTTTTTTCTGCACATTTCGAATTATTTCCTACATATATATGACTTTACTTATATCAGATCAGTTAAATAAATAAAATATAAGAAGTAGAGGAACTGTAATCCAAAAATGAATTGCTTCATTTATTGAAAAGTAGCAGTGAGGTGTTTCACAGATATCGGAGAACTGGTGAATCGCAAAGGTTTAATAAATGCTCTTGTGAATAAGGCAACACCATTGAGTATATATACGCGTATTAATTTAGCGAGACGCAATTCAAAAGTGGATACAGACAGGTTACAACTTTACTTCGTTTATAGTTTTCCGGGTTAACTGCTAAATCTATTTGTGGAAAACGGTTTCCGATTAGCCCTGTTTTTTACTGCTTTTTGGACTTTCGTATCATTCTGGATGCAATTTGTAATATCTTATCTAAGGGTTTTTATTTACAGTAACACAGTAGATGGTACAAACGACAAACAATCGTGTTCGTTGTGTAGCAGCAAGATGTTTTGCCTGTGTCGGAATTGTGTCAATCACAAAAGTTTGTTTCTTTTCATTTTCTAGTAACAGCAAGAGCATTATTTTCATTATCGAAAATTTTTTTATCCTATTTTCCAATTATTGCGAAAAAATTTCGGCCAAATATATTATAAATTTTTACATTTTTTTCAGTCAAATTTGTTGAAAGGTACGGTTTGCAAAGAAGAAAACAATTCAGGAGGCAAAATTTCCTTCGTGAAATCGGAGAAATTTTGGAATATGATGTTAGTTTCAGAAAAGATTTGGCATCATTCACCTTTGATGCTCTTTTTTGTTCTAAAGAGTGCTGCTACGGAGAGTGTGTAGATACTAATTAGGATATCATTGGTTTAAAAAGTTACATACTAATTTGAAATTTTTATAGTTTTCGTGGTTTTTCAGATTTCTCTGGGCGAAGCGTTGCACTCAACATATGAATCCATTGAATATTTGAAGCAAAATATTCTTGACAAGAAGAAAGCTATAAAAAAGAAAAGTGATGCTGTCAAAATTATATGCAGCAAAACCGAAAGATATCGTAGGATAATCGAAGAGCTTAAGGTTCTTTTCATATTTCTATTTCTGTTTTTTTAAAATACTTTTTTTTTTTTGAAAAATGAAAGTAAAGCAGATTTATAGGAACGATGCCTTGGACACCAAAAAGTTCTTTGTGGACCACCAAATTCATTACAAGCGTTTGTCGATGCATATGAGGATAAGGTAATGTGTAATGCTTATATCGAAACTTCATTCCGATAATTGTGCTTTCGTGAAAACACGTACGCATTGCAAAGTTCCGAAATGAATTTTCTCCGCATCATCATTTCTGTTTGATGTTAAACAGCTTCATTTAAAATATGTTGAACGCCCTATCCGTCTTATCAAATGCAAGCTTGCTTTTAACAGTTCGTTGCTGAATTCAGATTAGATTTAGATTCAATTCCGCTAACAGAAGAGAGCATAAAACCAAAGGTAAAATACACGAAAAGGGTTAATAAAAGTAAAAAAAACAATTTTAGTTGCAAAAAATTGTGAAATTCAATGCACAATGGTTTTTAAAGATTTTCCCTATACAGCGGGTCATAAAACCCGAACCTATCGTAGATGAAATGGAAAGACGTTGTCGGGAAATGATTGCAGAAGCATGGTAAGTGAACTTAGTTTCATTTTGTTAATTCTAAAAGTTCAGGTTCAAGATTTATTCTTCCATACATTTACAGACAAATATATGAAACAGTTATCAGCGTCTTTCTTTTTTAATTTTCAGTCAAGAAGAATTTACTCCATCGACAGATAAAGCGCTGGCTCCAATGGAATGTGGAACTTCTTCAGAACATTGTTACACGGTAAATTTGGTATTTTCAATATTGATTTATTTTTGCTCATAATTCGTTCGCTTTGTCTTATCTTTTATGTAGGGGATCATTTTGCATATTTTAATACTTTAACTGCTGTTTAGAAATCTTTAGATTAAGAAATTAAAGCAAGTTCCCAATGAAGTTACTTTGCACATTACATAGCTATTACTGGAATTCAAGTTTCTATAACGCACTGTTTTTCTCTTTTTTAAATATTTATGTTAAAATATTCTTGACTTGTGAAAAGTAATATTGAAGCACTCTAGGTTTGTGATTGTGACGCACCAGATCGAGTCCAGTACAAAATTTTGAAAGGATGGCTGAGCATAGGTATTCCAACCGCACCTGTTGCTCGACCGGTTCACAATATGTTCGCTGCATTTGTTTATACTATCCAGCTTGTTAATTTGCTAACCGTTAATTTTGATGTATGCATACCTGAGCAGGTTGCGTCCTCTTCCTTCTGCTTTTTCTTTTGAAGTTTAAGTTACTCCAGTTTGGAAAAGTAGAAATCAATATGTCATATGATCTCGCAGTGTTGTTTGAAATCAGGTGTTTCATTGTTTTGTTTTACATATTTCTCTATTTTTCCATCTGTTTTGATTGGTCAAGAAGGGGATTACCGGAAATGTTAAGCACCGTTTTATGGGTTTCACAGTTCTTTTCTAGATATCATATCAAGAATTCTCAGCATGCAGAAAATGGACAGAAGGTTTATTTGATACGGACATTTTCAAACTGAACCGTGCAGTTGTAATGCTATGTCTGAGCTTAGGTATTGAGTCAAAATTAATCGAACCGCTTAATCCATTCGCTAATCTTCTGCTTCTCAGCAATATTATGAATGATCCTAATTCTGTTCCCAAGGTTTGCCTTTCTTCAGTAGTTTTGTGATATTTTCATTTTTATTTGCCACTGAAATTATTTAGTTTAATATTTCTGCAATAAGAGTACGACTATATGCTGAATATGAATGTGGTAATTTCCGATATATAAACTCCTCTGTTTATCCGCGGAAGAAATGACCATCGGTAGGCTTATCTCATTTAGTCGCTCAGAGCGAGGCGAAATATCATTATTATGCTTTCGAATAATATGTCCTAGGATGTATCGACTTTTACTATAATCAAACCCATCCGTGTTTATTATAAAATCAAAAATTTTCATTACAATCAAACCCTTCGTGCTACTTATCAATTATTCCAAACGTTCTTTAATAATTTAGCTGATTTTCAGCCAGGACATCATACATTGGCTAATGAACTGGCAGTTGTTTTGGAAGAAGATCTTAGACAGATTTCTTGGGCAGAACGTGAGCGAATGGTTATGATTTTGCAGTTACATTTCTTTTTTTTCAATTCTTAAATCTTTCCCTTCCTGAAATTTATTTATATGACGAAGAAGTTTCATAATTTTTGTTTGCATTACACCGTAGCGTTATGATGCTGTATTATCTAAAGAATGAGTTTGAATATTTTAATAATGTTTCATATTGGCAGTAGCTGTTTCGCAAGTCCTTTTTTTTATTAGTGTGGTGAAGTATAATGCATAAATTGTAAATGTTCTAAAATTTTAGGAAGAAGATGAGTGGTATATGGTACGATATAGAGATAATTATTATGATGAAACATATGATATTTCATCGCCTTTGAGATCAATCCCATCACTGAATGATTTGGAAGAAATGCTTCGTGATTTCTCAGCTTTTGCATTACCATCAAGTCGTATGTCCGAGCATGATTTCCAGTGTATTCTTGAAGATGCAAGCCGTCAGCATTCACCCGAGTTTCTTCCTCGTGTTCTTAACATTTTTAGGAATTTTAGTTCGAAATGAGTTTTTATGTGAACTTCCAGTTATTTATTTCGAAGTAATACGTATTGTCTCTGTTATATGTTATCGTGTTGTTAAAATGCAACATAATTTATTGTTCCATTTTGTCGGACTGAAAAAAAAAAATTGTTGTAGAATCAAATTCTTTTCAAAAGGAATTATCTGTTTTAAGGTCAAATGGTAGTTGATTTTTCCCACTTAGGTATAATTTTGGATGTGTTGATATTTATAGAATTTAAGATTGAAAGAGGGAGTATTGCAAATTAAGATTTTTGATACTAATTAATATGGGCCGTTATTTTCAGACCTTTTAATTTTCCAATTTCCGTTTTTGTCTCTCACTCTTGTTAAAACTATTTTGTTATTTGACAAATGGCATTCGCAGCAAATGCCTATTAACAAGTAGCTCGCTATAGCAGTTATCAAATCATACCATTTAATAGCAGTTATTGACTGATTAACAGTAGATTTTCTGATCATTTTATTGCTGCACTTTTTCGTCAACACTTTTTTTCGAATAGCCTAAGTTAAAGAGTGTGGCAGTCTGTATATCTATTAATATAAAGTTTTGTTTTTCTTTTTTCCAATGTTGTTTGTGAGTTTTACGTTTTATGTACTTTTTATGCATTGTAAAAAAAAAAACGTAGTGATTAAGATCTTTCGCAAGCCACAGCTCTCACATTCCTAATCGTTATTAGCAAACCATTTTGCCATTTGCATCTCTCTTTCCGCACATTACATCGCGTTTTCACGTCCCATAGATTGCTGACAGGCCTTAAAGCCTGATTTTATAATCGTCTTGGCCAGAATCCATTGTTTTATAAATTTTGCGTTTTGGCCTGTAACACAGACAAGGTGCATTATCTTCTAGTCGTTATGTTTCCAATGTTTTTTTTAAAATATTTCCGAAGGAAGGGTCCTTCCAAATGACGAGTAACTAATTAAAAGTTGCCTTTTTACAAAATAAATCTTGTTTTTTTTTGTATTCCAGAGTACCGTGAGCCAAGTGTCACCATTTATTCCAGTGATGCTGATTGGACTGAGACCACTTGTGGTGCTGTGAAGATTCGACAAATCTCACCAATATTGTTGGGGTTTATTTTTGAATTCTATCTATAATATTAATGATTGTACTTTATATCGTCATGCGAATTATTCGTAATGATATAGGCCATATAGGTAATATCAGTTTAACGTTTGTTTAGGCGTCCTTGTTTAGACATCATTTTCTTACGAATTATAAGGCTAAAATCAATCCTCAGTCCTGTGTTATGTATCTCTCTTGTTTATTATCAATTATACTAGAAAATTTATCAAATGGGATATTGTTTAAGAGTGGTGTAACATAATTTCTGTAGTCGTTATGATTGCTTACCTGGAAAATGTTTAATTTTCGAAGTATTATCAGAAGAGCTTGATGAGCTTATATTTCACTGATTTTTGTCATATCTTTCGCTTCGTGTTAAGTTCAAAACAATCATTTGAATTTGCAGGATGAAATGTGGAAGATAACTATGTCTATGTCTTTTATCTTTATAAATTCCAAACTGTTTGAAATATGCTACAATAAAGTTCGAATAATTTCCATGTGTTTTACTATGAGTGTCCACTTGAAACAGTTTTTGCTACCATTACACTGAGTAATATAGTCAAAAATCGGATATTCTCAAGAAACATCTTAAATATAGTCAAAAATCGGATATTCTCAAGAAACATCTTATTCCATCTTGGCCGTTTGATGAATCTTCTCAGGCAAGCCTAGCCTGGTTATGCTGCACCCCTTGCTATGTGATACGAAATAACGGAACTGGTCGATATCAACATATTCATATCAATATCAATAACAAACAAATATGATATGATTTTAGTATTATCCATTGTCAACTGCAATTAAAATGTGACATTTCTGCTATATCAAATGATTACAGACGAACCATACCACCAAAAGTACAACTTTTCATTTATGCAAAAATATCAGTGTTGAAATCATTTTCGTCTGCCTTTTTTTTATCACCGACGTAGGATCAAATTTTTTTTTTATTGTGATAATTCCGCATTGAATTGTCCTTATAGGCCGTATAAAGGAAAATGGGAAGAAAAACGTCCCCAGATTTGTATGCAATTTCTTCCGGTTTATTCTGATCTGAATTTGCCATACACACAAAAAAAAAAAAATCTTGGGAATATCTCTTTTTTTTTCAGATATTCATCCATTTGTCTAGACATTTTTTTACAACTTCCTTTCAAAAATGACTTTTAACGTAATTTTTAAAAATTCATATTTCTTTCATCCCATCTTCTTGTTAAACTTAAGCTATTTCATTTTACATTTTTAAAATCACTACTTTATCACAATCGAGTTTTATATTTTCAATCTGTGGCTTATTAATTATATTTTGAATAGTGAAGAAAGATTCTTCAAGGATGATAATGATGATACGTAATCACAATGTAATTATTTTTAAGTTTATCCGCATTTATACAATGACAAAACCGGATAATACATATGTGATGCTTTTCAGATTCTTCAATTCGGAACTCATTTCTTATAAATCCTATAATTATTTAAATATCACCACTTTGGGATCAGTTTGAAAGAGTTTTTCCAGCTCAAAATATACTAATTCGAATTAGATATGACGCATATGCGACACTTCCTTTGGTTTTTGTTTGAAATTATTTAGTCTAACACTTTTTTTAATCAAATTTGTACTGCGGAATAAGATCTGTGATAATAAAAGGTTAGTTAGTCATGAGTGGATATAATCAAGTGAAATGATCACTTTCCTTTGTAATTGGTCAACTGATAAAAATCGCTATTGATAATTTTGTATGGATGAGTAAACCTATGTTTACTTGTCCTATTATCCTCTTTATTGCCTTGAATAACTTTTTCGTCATCAGTCTTATCAATAATTACTTTTTCTTTTTCCGCCATTTTTCCTTTGCTTTTTTAAAATTTTCTGGAGAAAAATAAATTTACGATGAATTCAGCATAGGAATGCTTTTTTTTCCTTTCTTTTTTGTCTCATCCAATTCAAATTAGCGAGTTGGTTTGCGAAAAAGTGCAGGATAGAACAGGTTTTCATCATTAAAATAAAATAACATCAAATGATGAAATATAAATTGTAAGATGACGCCATTTTCGGTTCACTGATAATCATTTTTCCGGAATCTATTTTTAGGCTTATTTTCATATTATGCTAGTACAAAATGATATTGTATGTTCCATTTTTTTTTTGGTTCTAATAGAAAAAATTAAATATTGGAAAAAAACAATTAAAAAAGATTGCCATTTTTCCTTCAGTGACAAATTTTCCGTTTTTTCCTTCACTAAAAGCAACTTTTTGACAAGGCATATTTCATAGAAGACATTTGTTATAATACACATCTTTTTGCAATTTTTAGTTACACTTTGGTCAACAATTTTAATAAAACTCATCGATTCAAACTAGGGCATATTTCATTGGTATAGTGAAAATTAACAACTTTTTGCATGATTAATTAACTGAACAGAGAATGAAAAACATTTTATTTTCTTATTAATACATTCTGTAAACCATTCCAAGCGATCTCATTGTTGAATAATATTCTTATGATAATATTAATAATAATAGTAATAATAGTAAAATGACTAAATCCAATTTAAGTCAAACTCATTCAAATTCAATTCATTTCAGTTCAACAATATTTGAAATCATTACATTCTAATGATTTACATTTTCGTTCCTTCTACCTCATTTTACCTGAAATGATTGTTCGTTTTTTCAATAAGATTTGCAATATGGGAAAGAGGAAAAAAAAAACAAATCATCTTCATGTAAGAAGATCAGCAAGTTTCGTGACCTTTCCCTTATATTAATATTACAAGGTCAAAAGTGTCACAGAAATCAAAGCTCTTAACTGTAAAGAGGAAAATAGTTTCATTAAAGACATGAGTAAGCATTGAAAAAAAAAAGTGAAAATTTCAACACAACTGTTATAGTTTATTGCATTATTATTTTCAATTGGCCTTTTTTAAAATACCATTGTTCGATTCTTATCAATGTAATATACTATACCGGAAATAATAAATAAACCATAAATAGGAAATATTTATGCATTGAATTTCTTATTACCAAATTATCTCTCAAAAGATAATACATTAATGGTAATAAAATACTTAAAAAGAAATAGATTAAACTAAATTTAACTGAAAAAAAAAACCCAAAGTGAAGTTTTTTTGGAATTTGGTTGCTGACGTTGCATTCATACTTGACTTCGACATAAATCATTCTGGGCAGTAAAATTAAAGGCCTAACCAACCACCAAACATTCTTATCCTATGATTGTTAATTTTTGATTGTTACTGAAAATTTCAAAGAATTCTAAACAGTTTCTCTAAATTTTTAAACATCTTTTTTTCGCAATCTAACGCACTTTTCAAATTTTCAGAATATTTTTTTTTACTACATCTACTGTTATCTACTATCAATATCATTTAATTATCAGGATCATTACTATAAACATCATCATTACTGATTACTATCATTAAATGCTTTTTTGATTGTTCATTTATTGAAAAAATGAAATTGTTTCGAATGGATGATTTATTTTAAGGTTAAAAATTCTTGAGCTATTTTATCAATTCCGATGGAATAATGTCAAAAACCAAATTTTACTCTCCTTCTTTCTTCCTTCCTCTTTCTCCCTCTCCCTCTCCCT